ATTTCAAAGTTAGGAGGATGAGAGAGCTGGGATGCCGTAGTAATTTGGTGGAAGACTTAAGTGACGGGCACCGAGGAGGGACAAAAACAAGAGTACCCACAGAGAACAGGAAAAGTGGGGGGGGGCAGTTTTCAAAGCAGGAGACCTGCCTCACTGAAGAAGAGGGGGTGATACTTGGATTAGGGGTTGCTCTGAGTACCCAATCTATGATTAGTAGGACTCTGTAGCCCTTCCAAAAGCAGAGAGATGCCTCAGAATCCCAATCTCCTCACAACTTTTTAATCCAGGGGTCTTCAAACTTGGCAACTTCAAGACTTGTGGACTTCAACTTCCGGAATTATTCCTCCTCCGGTCATGTTAGCTCAGGAATTCTGGGAGTTGAAGTCTACAAGTCTTGAAGTTGCTAAGTTTGGGGACCCCTGATGTAGATGGTCTCTTATTGTAAAGAGAAGCGGGGAGGAATTGGGGGAGGTGGAATGGCATATCCTGAAAAGGCCACAGCGAATTGAACACTGAACAGCCCCCTTCTGTGCCCGACATTTCTTGTTCTGGTTTTCAGCCCGAAGCATTTGCACTGTCCAAGGGATGGACAATAGATCTTGTTTTCCCTGTAAGATGATTCATGCTGGAATGGAAGCCAGCATACCTGGATAATTTTGTCCCCTGTCTTAGTAAAGAGGTGCCAATTTTCCTCTTTTTGATCCCACACCTGCTCCACTGTCAGATTCTAGCTGTCTCCGGCACAGCAGGGCCTCAAAATAAAGTTTCACCTGAGAATAATTCCTCTCCTTCAAACAAAGCTTCCAAGAGGTTCCTCCCTTTAAACAGCAGGCAGAGCAAGGCAGTTAAAAAAGCTACCGTAAATACAAATTACGGGGTTCCTGAGGTATGCCAACTCCTGTCTTGTTCCTCCTGCTCGCTCCCATTTAACTGCTGGAAAATATAAGAGGAGCCCATCAAATTGAGCAGCTTTTCTGCGTCAGAAAAGAGGGATGGATTCTACGTGCTGTTTTTCTTTCCACACATTGTTACTTGTATGGCATAATATTCACCCTCTATTAAAGTGACCGCATGATAATTCCAGTAGCATTTAAGCCTCCCAAAGATTTAGCAAGTCATTGCTGAGGCAGTAATTTTTCTCTTTTTTCAAGAGAAAACTTACTTGGTAAGTTCTTCCCTTTGATTGCTTCTTTTCA